TCAATATTTAAAATTTTATTAAAAAAATTTAAAATTTAAAAAAAGTTGTAGGCAAATTTGGCTGCAAAACAATTTAAAAGATAAGTTTATTTCTAAAACTATGATACTAGCTAAAATTTAAATTTGAAGTAGATTAGCATAGCTATAACTTTATTTTTTTTTTTACAAAAAAACCAATATATTATTTATAAGAAATTGTAAATTATATATTCATTTATTATAAAATGCACCTATGGTAATTTTGTACAAATCATATGTTTTATTATATTTTCTAGATTTTTTTAATTGTTGAATATAAAAATTTTCAACACAAAATTTTTATGTTAGTGTTAGAAGTTAGAGTTAGTATTAGGGTTTGGGAAAGATTTTTAGAAGCATAGAGCATTTTTACTTAGGATATCTTGCACTGATTAATTAGCCAGTTTTTGAGATAATATATACATAGGTGTAAAACACCATAGGTGCGTTTTAATAAAAGTCTAATTTAATTATGACCTAAATTAAACTTAATTTAGGGGTTGCCAAATGCCTTTATATGATAAATCATATAATGATTTCGATTAAGTCATTTTTAATTGTTTTTGCCTTAAGCATTATTGGAATGGTATCTTAAACTTTTATTTTTTTCTTTTAGATTTACATAATTAAAATATTTACCAAGTATTACGCCCGTACATTTTTTAGGGACATGCACTGGTCACTTTTTATTGGAACTCGGCACAATTTAATTTTTGGAGTTTTTGGCCCATGATTATTATTTTTGGATTTCTTATTGTAATCATAATGGAAGTTATAATTATGGGATCATTTATTGGGTATGTGCAATCGCTTCTATATTTTGTTAACAATATTATTATACTGAATTTTCAGTAGTTATTAATTACTATTTTATTATAAATTTAAAAAGTGTTGAACTTTCTAATGCAGAAAAGAATAGTAAACGTGGTGTTCTCCAGATACAGAATGCATTTATTTATAATTATGCATGCTTAGAAGATTCATCTTTAAGTTCTGAAACGAATATTTTTGATTTCAAATTTAAAGATAAATTTAAAATAAGATATATATGTTTTTTGGACGAAATGTTATTAACAAGAACATGGAACGAAAAATCAGTAGAACTTGATTCAGAAAGATTAATAAGACTAGAAAAAAAATACGAGTTAGACTTAAATGAAGAATTTGATGTTGATATTAATGATGATATTCGATTTTTTTGTGCTTGATTATTATAAATAGTAACAGTTTTTAAGATAAAAATTAAATTTTAAATCATTTTTAAATTTATCCCTTAAATTGTTTTGCAGCCAAATTTGCCTGCAACTTTTTTTAAATTTTAAATTTTTTTAATAAAATTTT